CGACAGTTTCTCCTGAAAGTTTCGCCGCGATTGTCTTTCTTAAGGTGGAACCCACGCAAAGCGAATTTCGTAGTGTTTCCTTATCTATCGCTCTTTCCGTAAAACTGTCATGTCAGTTTTTAGCTGATTCACTTCTATTGATTATTTAGTATTTGAACTATATCATGTTTATATATATTATAAAAAGAACTTTTTTTACATAACAGCTTGAGGCTATCGAGTTTGGTAACCTTTTTGTCATCTTAGTTTTTCGCATTTGCATGAATTTCGTGTTGCAGTATTTTCTTTCGTTTGGTGCTGTTTTCTTTCGTCCTGTTCGCTCGTTTCTCGTATATATTTGTTTAAATTTAACTGAATTTTCAGTTTATTGAATTGTTATTTCGAGCACGGTAATTCATCTATGCGTTTTTTGTTCCATTTGTGTCATTAATCATGCTGCTGTGTAATCTTGCTATTCTCTAATCTCGATGGCACCGTCTCGAATCTATTTAAGAAGTCCCTGAATACCCCATGCTAGGCTCGAACAAAACGACTTGAAATCCGTCATCACATAATTCTAATAATAACTTTCAAGTCTATCCACGTCCCCTCAGCCAGGAACCATTTCCTGGCTAAATTCATCCTTCAAATGACCTCAATATGGACTGATCGCGTCATTTCATCTTGTGTATTGCCATGAAAGACTAGTTAATCTTAATGCTGCTAAAGAAGGTAATAGAACTACASTCCAAACAAGCGTATTTGCATGCGTGTTGGTATGCAATAGATTGCTTGRTTCTCGATGCTATCGGTTTTGAATTACCTTAAAGTCCTGTAATCGTTCATTAATTGTATTGCCTTACTTATAGAAATCTGTTGCTGAAGGTACTCTAGCTATATAGAAGGCTTTATGGTATCGTGCCTTACAGACGAGGTTCGCTTGCTTCACCAGAGGTAATGAACATACTTCTTAATATATCAAGAGCTTGCTAGTTCTGATGCCGTACCATAGTCGGGTTTATATCGAGTGCTATTTGCTAAATTGAGTTATTTATTGTTTTCTAATGCATTATTAAGCATCATGTGTGAGGCAATGACCCTGATCGCTATCGATGTAACTCTGCTTTTATTAACTCCAAATTGCCTACGTTGAATTTTTTCTATAATATGTAACCAGTTTTGATTTCAACAGTTATTGCGACACATTGTTCACACATYGATAATTAGCGGCAACTGGAACTCATTATAACATAAATGAAAATTGTTCTCGTTGTCCACGCTCTCTCTTTTCGAAATCGTAATCATACCATTACAAGCGATTTCGTGCGGAAGGGACATACAGRCACTCAAAGATAGTCTGATGGTTTACAAGGCGTCTGCGTGTAGAATGGGGGCTTTACACACCCCCTCGTTGTCTACAGGGGTGGAAATAAAAGATAAAATAATAAAGATCTTGAAATAAAGGTTTTTAAGGTGTCAAAAAATAACCTTTTTATAAATTCTCTCGTTCGTAGTTTGTTGGTGGGGTGAGGCCCCGATTGAAAATTAGGCAACATTTTGAGAAGAGTTAGGAAAAATACCGCGCGTGTTTTAATGAAGTAGCTTAACACTACGTGTGCGTATCGTATCACGAGTGGCATTAAGTCATTTACACTTACACAACCATCGTTTTTTTTGTTAATTCCTTGAGAACTATAAGGTTGAATTTCCTATGTTTAATAATAACACATCTACGGAAAATGCGTGGCTCTGATAAAAGTACACTGTCACAAAGCATGCCGGGATTTATTAGCACACACGCGATGTTAATTAACTGCCAGGATGAAGGGAGAGTTCAAGGTCAATCAGCCAATCAGAAATAAGCATCTTTACATGTAGCTTTGGTATTTCAGGGTTTAAATTGGTAGGGCAATTCCCTTTAGGGATTTTTGAAAATTCCCAAACGAGAATGCTCTAGCTTTGATTTCTCTTTTGTGCAAGCTTAGTTTCAAACAAGCATAAATTGTTATTGTCTTTTTTGTACACAGAGTGTTTGCATTACAATAGGATCTCTGCTGAACAAAAGAATATATTATACATGCTTTCGAGGTTAAGGCTGCATTAACTGGTGTATACCCTCGATCTAGCCCMGGACTCGTTGCCTGTGTTTTTATCAAATATGACATATAATGGAATTGAAATAACGGAGTCATTTCAACTCCTAATCAAAAAAGGTAGCTATATATAGAGATCACTGAGTTGCTATTCCGTTTTCGGAATTACATAGTATATAAAATAGTGAATCTATTCTGATGATCAAAGCTAATTGGGCAGAGTTTGGGCAATCAATCGCAAAACGTTACAAAGGGGTTGATTAACCCAAGGATAAATATTAAATGGACAGCTTTAGGGCTATGGAAAATGAAATGTCTTTGAGATGATGATGAATGCTGTTTGAGTTGTTTTCAGAATGAGTCAGATTCAATTTATYATTTTATTTAATTATTTCGTATTTYTTGTTTCTACATTTGAAGCCTATAAAAGGAGGTGTCTCGCCACCCTAATCCYGAGATCCGCCCTTGGCAATACTTGGCTGTGTAAACTATTGCAGGMAAATGKGAATATCTATCTGATAGTTCTACATCGATCGGTCATGCGTTCGATCAAATTAGGCTCTAGTGCCATAACCGATATGTTTTCCGGAATATCATCAATTAGTGTCTTGAATTCATATCAAAATGCTTTTATCATATTTTGTTGCACTAAAATTGATTGTAATTATTTAAACATTGTTTTGTTATTGAATCAGGCCCTTTATGAATCTAGTCAAAGACCGTTTCAATATAATCTTTTTTTATTTACTTTATATAATATTACCGGTTATTTTGGTACACAGGAGCCACTCAACTACACCCACAAAAATGCTTTGCCCTCTTTAGTCTAACTTAGAAATCTGAATAACTGAATAAAAATAATGCAAACAGCGCCGAAGACGCTATAGAGTGAATTCTGTCTTATTTTCCTTAACCATTCCATTGGTATTCAGAACTTTGTTGGCATAACTGTCACTGTGAATCAACCATCATATATAGATTACGACAGAAAATTCTAAACGTTTTAGACACCACGGCGCTTGAACGGCGATTACGACATGACGCGGTCAAATGGTTGTTTGAGACATTGTGAAACACTATGGTGACTAAGGACCAGAGTTAAACAAACCGTTTAGTACTTACAGTCACGCGATAAGCTTCATATGTTTGCGGTCGGAAGAAAGTATATATAAAAACATCAATATTACGGCTTTTAGGTCGCGGCCCGTGATTATATCATTGGTACCTTAGTTCCTCCTTTTACCGGTTATAAACAACTACAGATACCATCACTTCTAGAACGCGAGACGTAGTATAAAAGCGCGCGAAAAAAGCGGAAATTRCTCTAAAGAGATATCAAGGGCACAGACATGATTACACACGCTCCAAGGTGAGAAATATCACTTTTGAAAGAAAARGAAAGTTCTTTTTCCAGCATGCTCTAATATTGGCTGACCTATTCCAGCGTGCACTTAGACGTTACGCGACCTAAAATCATAATAATAAATATTTTGTTTAAATGCCATTTCCTTCATAATTGCGACGTGTATTTTGGTTTGTTTTCAATTGTTTTTTAATTGGTAAATTAACCGCATTTCTAAATCGCTATCGARTAATGCTTTCTAATTGCTTCGTTGATCAACGAGAAGTAGTTACAATTAATACATTGAATACTGGATTATTATGAGGGATTTTAGATAAACGGGACTGCATCGCGAGTATAAAAAATTAGAGAAAAACATTCGGAAGCAAACCTGAGAACCATATAAACATGTGTCTAAAGTTTGACAAAAAGGTGAATTACATCCATTATTGATTGGTCATTGATCCAAAAATTCATTATTCCATGATCTTGCAAACGCTTGATATGTGTTGCGACAAACAAAAGATACGAAAGCAGTCGTTTGGTAACTCGATATCAATTTTTTTTTCCTTTGGGAACTCCTCTTATTCTCGTGCCCAGTCCCTCTGCTTTCACAACCAAGGGGACTTGGGTACGAGAAGAAGCTCCACCCCAAAACAAGCATATCGTACGAGTTGTCAGTCGTTTGCTAAAAACCTATTGTAAAAAACTAAAATGAAGATTTGACTTAAGTCTGCGGCTTCTTTAGTCAGTTTTTAAAATAATTCCCCTTTAACAAAAGCTTCAATTATCTTTTTTTTTCGTGCATCAAACAGAATGTGGTTGCAATCTGGTTGACAATAGTGGCATATCGTCTGCGATTCTTAATAAGTACACGAATAGCTCTATTCTATACATCTATTTTTAAGGATTTTTTTTGTAAGACAGAATCAGATGTAATTGTTGTGGGATGTGCGGTTCCTGAGTAATAACCTRGAACAGCTGCCAATTTTCACCCGTTACATCAAACCTTTCGTCGTRTGCATCTACACCGACAGTCCGCAGATAGTATTATTTAGTGTTGAGAGAGTTTTTGATCGTTAAATGTTGAGATTTGCAGCAGTAATTGACGTATAATCGCTTGCATTTTAGTGATATCAACACTGCACACTTTTGATTTACATGTCAAAAAGGCAAATTTATCGCAGCAAATTTCAGCACGTTTAAGCCCTGCTTATTAAGTCCTTTTAGTAGCCATTTGAAAACAATAACTAAAAACCTTGACAAAGCAAAAACTGTTTGAAAAGTTGATTTTATTTGCCGTGAAGTGTTACACCACATTGCYCWTGATTAAAAGTTTTATTTTATATGCAGTGGACAGCTGAGTCTTTGAGTGTTTTTGAATTTGAAATTATTAATGCATCTAAACACGGAGTYATATTAATTCACGACTTCTCAATCAAATATAATAGTTGAGCAAGAGCTCGAGCCAAAAAACGTGCTTTTCTGTTAGTCCCACACAGATTTGTGTCAAAGATATGTGCCCGAGGCCAAAAAAAAAACACGTTTATTTTGAAAAAATGCCTTGTCTAGCACATGGCATAGTTTTGACATTTATAGGACAAGTGCACAATATTATGATTTCTTTAGATGTATTTTTGTAAGGTTTGTAAAAAACAAGAAACACGAGCTACGCCTATGAACCAATCTTGAAAATTATATTTTGTACATGTTAGGCTAGTTGACGTGCAATATCCGTTTCAATAATGTCTTTATTAAAAGCAAGATTAATCCGAAACTCGACGTTGTATTGTTCGGGGCGATTGATAATGATTGGCTTCAATATATTGACACATTGTACAAGACTTCAGCCATACCACATTCCAATAAAAGAAAAATGAGAAATTTCATTTATCCTGAAAGGTTGTTAGTAAGGCTGTGTTAAAACGATGTATTTTGTACAACATTGTACAAGCTAGTACTAAATGTCCTAACAAGAACGATGTCTAAGACTGTCGTTAATTTGCTAGAGGTCCTTTAGGCTCTGGTTCAATTGGGCCGTCTTTATTCATCTTCGCTAGTTCTGTTGACATTTCAGTCCTTTTTATTCGGTCTTAATTTTAGATTGCCTTTCATTACAGACATAATAAGCTTTTTGTAATTTTATGAATGTTTTTGATGATTTTAATTTTTTTTGTGCCATCGGAAGGACATTTCACTTAAAATTCATTTCCTTTTGACATTGAGCTGAGCATCTGATCATTACCTTTTTCCATAAAAAAAARCAGAAAATGGAAGGAAAAAATCCTATTTCGCATGTGCGTGTGCTGTAGGCAATGTTTTTGGTTCATCTTCAGATATTTCGTGTCAAAGAGAGTATCTAATGACCTATATCTAAGCATTTTGTCACTTTGCTAAGCAGCGCTCCAGTCAAATCAATGAGTTCACTACCTATATCCAAATATTCTATTATGTTCTTAAGCACCGTTCCAATTTATTGTAAGACGTCTATTGATCCAAGAAGCCTCAATATCAACCAGTTATTTCGTTGTACAGATTTAAGAGCCTTATTTCATACAAGCCAWCTCGACTTAGATCAATATATATTACTTGATTAATGGCCTAGGATCTCGCGACTTGGTTATTATGCATAAGAAACACAAATTCTCAGCTTTCGCCAATAAACTATTTATTCACTTCATATTACGCGGCGCGCTTTCCCTTGCCTTAACACTTATCACGTGACTACTTGATGACGTCAAAAGTCTTGTTATTATACCAAGGACTTGGTTAGTGTTCGTTAAGTTGTAGATACCACCAGCCACCAAAGAATTAGCACCACGCTCAGGTCAAAAGTAAGTCTTTATTATCCCAATCGCTTTAGCACTGCTAGGAGGTAAATCGGTTGTAACAGTATCTGATATCTTTRTTTCTTAAAAACCTTCCTTTAGAGGCAATCAACCAGCTTCTTCAGCTTTAAGAGATGTTTGATTCAATGTCAAATCGGTCCAACCATTAACTCTTTGCAAATTATAACATTAACTGCTCGTTTTTTCCCCTGAAAGAAAGCTATGTCTATAATACATTAAAACGAAAAAAAAAAAAAAATGAGAAGTCGGGGAAAAGTAGTGACGACAAAACTGTTTAATTTTACGATGAGTGGAGTTCATATTGTGCAAAATCAGTGCAACAAATGTACTTTTGAAAGTCTCCKATGAAATTTCAAAAGGAATTGAACGAAGCTGTGRATTTCCATGGGAAACCTTAGCGATTTTCCACAATTTTATTAAGACTGAAAACAAAAGCAAGTTAATGAAACCCCTGGGGCTATACGCGGAAAGATTCTGGMGGATATATCACAAAACATTCAATAAATCTAAATCASTGTATTATAAGTGGTTTACCTCGAGCGAAACAAATGAGCAAGAAATGCTTTGCACGTTTTACCATAATGGCTGGCGTCCTATCACATAGCTGACAGAAAAATGGCGCCTATAAACAGATACAAACGGTTGAACTTACTTGCCCACAGCATGTACACGTCTTACTTTTGATAACAATTCTGATAATGCTAGAAACGTTGATTTTTAGGAAATAGCCAACGTAATATTCATCACATAATATTTATTGAACCTAAGTTAAGCATGTATRCTGTAGTCGAAAGTATAGCCTTGCCTGCGGACAAATCATTCCCCAAACAACCCAATCTACACAATTCAACTTCAGTGGACCAATTCTAGAATACTAGGGCTCCAAAGTTCTTTGTTTTCTATTGATTTGAATGTAAATAAAGCTGATTGAGTAAAATTCCACATTCCGTTTATTTTAAGGTGAGGTTATGGCTAATGTGTGTTGCGTCTTAGAGAGAGTGTGTTTTCCTTAAACACAATTAAAGTTTGCAGGTGCCGGAGATCTCACAAACAATCTCATACACTAGGAATCTCAATAAGGTCGATTAGTAACGTTTTGTGGCGACTGTGTTTGATACTGGAGGATTTTCTGGCGATAATTTTGCTTTTTTCCACATCGTGAGTACAGAATTTGGAGTAATTAAAGGAATTAGATTAAAAGCAACCGGGAATCTAACTTCAACTTTTTCCTCACATTATCAAAATTGCAAATATGGCCGATAGCAAGTTATTTCTTTAAAATGGCCACTTTCAGATTAATGAGGTTTTTTAACAATTCGGTCCAGATGTTCTACAACAAACCGCAAAATGGTGACTCAAATGAGCAAGACACGACAACCATTTAAAAGCACCTACATGACGATTTCAGTCTAATAAAATATGAARACAATAATAATGATGATAAAACCATACTGACGCATAAAAAATGAATTGCTTTCATTCGTGCGGGATCCCTGTGCTTTTAATCTTAGGCTTCTAGTATCGAATCTAWGTCATATATGGAAGCAAACGAGATAGACGAATGTCTTTTCGCTATCTGCAAGTTTCAGACGAAACTAAAGCTKTGATAATCGTATGAAAAAAACGCGCCAAAAACGAGTCCACCCGTACTTCCAAATAAGGTACTATATTTGGCTGCTACACAATTTAATAGTAACTAGACGCTCAAAAGCGTTKACATGGGCTTCCTGTAGCAATGTTATTTTTACTCCTGGACGGCATGTGTCCTACGCCACAGGAAGCCCATGTAATAACTTTTTAAAGGCAATTTATCGATATGCATATTCTCACAATTTGGAATATTTTGCGCACAAATGAGGCTAACACAGAGCATTGGAGAATTCGAAACTGGAGTATTGCTGGACACAGATGGAGCAGTATTGAGCGTTTGTGATTTGGACAAGAAGAAACTTTATTAACGCTTTATTAACCAAGAATAATAGGTTAGCTTGAGTGATTCTATTTTATCCTTCTATGCGGCATTCCTTTCCTACTTACAGTACAAATGCTTCCTCTCCGTAAATTAGCAGTCCACTTGCGCATTAGGTGTTGAGGTGATATTGAAGAAGGAAATACCGCCTCTGTTATTGAAGAATAAAGTTAAGCATGCAATTTGTACTTGTTAATGAYGAAAGACAAATTAATAAACTCGTGGTACTAACTCACTTTCATTGAACGAATGACCACCCGGCATTATGACTTTTTTATCGCAAGATAAAAAAACTCGATATTGAGACGGTGGAAACTAGCAGTAAACTCTAGTGTGAGATGCGTCGGTGTTTCTAAAGAATCATGCTGTTGTTTCTTTCTTTCTTCACTCCGGCGCAGGAGTAACGTCCGAAACGTCAGTAAGTTGTTTCACCTACTTTTTTATGGTGTTACATTTATCTTTTTACAAAACTGTTTCGATACTGAAACGTCCCTCGAATATCCGCCATTTTGGGTTTGCTTCATTTTGCCGCTGACTACTATGAGTACTGGCGCGTGAGTTCCTAACCGTCATGCTCCAGTACTGGATCTCATGCTCCAGCTTAAAGGGACACTGCCAATGGCGCGCATGCGCGAGTAAACTTAAAAATACTAGGCTTATGACTCCAAGTTGGMGCGACATAAATCAGCTCGTAAACGTAAACAGATCTAGAATATTCCAAAGTGTGTCAAAAGCACCACAAAATGATTTACCTCGAAAGTAATACTTTCAAAGTCCGTTAGAGGTGAGACTGTTACTGCGCATGTCATCCATTGACAGTGTCCCTTTAATAGTCCGCAGAGTGAAAGCAAAATGGCCGGAAATTCAAAATTGCAGGCGTTTATCGAAGTTTCACGAACAAATTCCCAAAAAAACTGACGTGTTCTGTCTATTCTATTCATGTCTGTTCTCCTTGCTAGGGAGTCTTGGTCGAAATTATTACAAAAACAGCATTCCTATAGCATTTTTTGCAGAGCATATGTTTCGCAAGACGAGTGTTATCCAACATGTATTTATTGCATAATCGTATAAGTCTAGTGCTGTTTTTTTCTTTTAATYAAATAAAAATGGATTTCATTTTTTTATATATTAAAAAGTGATTTCGTGTTAGTTTTGAACTTTATTTGTTTGTTTGTGGCTTTTAGATAATTGAATTCATGCAAATTAGTTCAAATGTAAACATTTCATCYCCTTATAGCACGATTGCTCATTAAGCACCATACTTCATACTAACTATGTACATTATATGGCGATAGAAAAAGATCTTTCAACCCACACTGAACCTTGATGAGAAAGTCAGGGTTTCCGGCCATACTCCCTTCTTTACGCTAGGGATGTCAGGACTGTTAAGTACAAATATCGTCTAAGCAGCATATTCTGATAAGGTAAAAAAACAACAACTAGAACTTGTGATTGATCATTGTTTCGTATGATATAGTACTTACCCGCATAAAAAAAACATTTTTTCAAATTTAGCCTAAACGGTTCTTATGTAAACGGTGCTTAGTGGAATTTTAGGCTACACAGGTTCTTAAATATAGGTTCTTATTT